CTTAAAAACTTAAAAACTTTTAGGAACTATCTTTTTTGTCTTCAGGTAGACAGAATAATTGCTTTATATGATATCAAATATAAATTTGATTTTTACAGTAACAAAAATTAGCATCGTCCTATTTATATGGGGAATATATACTGCAAAAAGAATCAATAAAGCAGACGTGTCATTATTGTCATTTAACGCCTGACTATGCGCAGAATAAAGCACAACATTGACGTCGAGGTGAACGATTGTTGCCTTCACTTCCTGCATCAAGACACCATTCCTATCTTCTTGAGTTTGTCGCTTTGCTCTAGACCTAGTCTCAACCTTGATTGAGACCAAGCATTATTGGTAGTCAGAAGCGCTTTGTGCTGCACATCTGGTCTCAATTCTCGAGGCGCGAAAAAGGAGAAAGAGTGCGCTAAGTCTTAGTGACAAAGCTGACAGACTAATGTTATAAACGTGGGACCTTGGGCTTACATGCGCGTTGAGGTAATGTATACCATCCAGGTTCACCAGACACTTCCAGACACCCTGATAGCACCCTACCACTGCGACACGAGAAACTGGGCTACCCAGACCTATCATCTAAAGCAGGAAGAATTGACTACTCGCGCGAACTTTTTAATGGTAATATGTCAAATTAGTCTAAGCTTGGAGTGCGACCGATGCTCACATGGTTATGTTTTCGGATCTGCAAACAAAAAGACTGACTTTTACAGCTTCCAGGGGCCTCAAATTCAGATTTCCTCTCACAAACAAAAGGTATTGAGCTGTATAGTGTACGAGGCGCTAGATCGTCTCTAAAACATGTCTTCACATCTAGATAGCTCGTGAGAGCGGGGGTAGTTAAGGATTGAAAAGTTTTCATATAATATGAAATTCAAATGCGTTACTGCGTTACTTTATTACGCTTGACTGCGTTTGCCTATTGAAATTCAGTCCCGCTACTGACGTGTATTAGTCGTTTAGCAAATTGTTTTTGCCGTTGCTGTATTTGAAGATTTACCATGATGCCCTAACAACTTTGGTTTGGCTATTGTTGTCTTACTCAAGTATTTTCTGGACGATCTAATTATTTCGAACTCGCAGTTTAAAGCTTAACTGCTGACGTATGTACTCTGTTTAGCAAGTCTGTTTTGACAGAAGCCTTTATTCAACGAATAATAATCGTCGCTGGTATTGCACGCACATCTACAAACGTTCCGTGTAAGCAAGGATGTAACTTCGATTTACGACTGTGAGCGTCTATATGTAGGCTGATTAACAGTGCTTCATTTTAACCCATAATCCCAAAATATCGACAAATTTATGCTTGATTTATCTGTCTCTAATGATTTTGTACATTCTGGCATTTGGTGTTGGTGTCGCACTCTCATCACAGGGATATTGACTTTGCCGAGAGGAAGTTGTCAATTTAATACAATTTTATTCGTGTTGATATCAGTATTGGGTCGATATCAACGGCTCCGGCCCCATCAAGATTAGACCCAATTCTTGGAGGTGTCAAGGAGATATGGGGTTATATAAACTTTTCATAGATTATAATCCTGTAAAGCAGAATACTACGAATTCAACGAATCCTAAAAGAGAGGGCACTGCGCTCTAGTCTCGCGATCGTCCTACGCATGTGCTTCAGAAAATATCCATCATCACGCATTTAACATTTGAATGGGGATGATTTACGAAAGCTATATCCAGTGGAACCTTTCATCAACTATTGACAAACTTTTATAACTTCAAGGCGCAGGTCACAATACAAGGGACTGGTTAGCCGCAAATCATGTTCAAGTTTTTTGTTAAAGATTAAGTTGGTTGGGCCCTCACCAGCAACTTTGTTGGTGACGATAGCTAGATGAGACATCTTGTGTTCATGATATAAATAGATCAATATGCGACGTCAAGCCTACCTCGGAAGGCATGTGGCGATCGTTTAACGTGTTGACACGTTTTGCGCGTGTACTCATAGGTGATTATGCACTTATACATGTCGGGCCGCCAGCACATAGCGCTTACTTAATCATACGTATTCAAATGCCGATGTATAATGTGGTCTTCCAAGGGTGCATCATTAGCCTCATTCAGGGCCATATTACCCAGTATCTCGTATAAAGTATCACCACACTGGTGCCACGTCGGTCACTGCTTTTATAAAGTAAAACTTTAGAAATTTCTAAAGGTGCAATTGTGTATTTAAACGTCATAATAAGACGACATTCAGAGTTAATATCACTATGCATCTCAAACCCTTCAACAAATTCAATGCATGTAGCATTCGACCGGTACATCGTACATTAGGTGTTATTGAGGCGTGACGTAACCACTTTCATATGAGACAGCCCATAATCATGACCACGCAAAAAGCGCATGCGTCACCAAATCTGGCCGATCCGGATTGAGGTATACATGGCATAGCAATGTTGCCATTTACTACAAGAGATGTGGTTACGTCGTCGCTATGCACATCATGCAAGATCTATATAGATAACAAATGACATAGATGTACCAAAAAATTGACAGGATTATACTTTATCGTCTGTAGTTCCTTGTCTTGATCGGTGAGGTCTCTTTCTTCCGTATTTATCTAGATCAACCGATTGGACCATTCTCTTAGGTACATTGGCATTTAAATGGAGTAAGGCATGACTTATAGAGGAAAGGCTGAAACGTTTTAGACGGCAAGAAATGGTCAATTTGGGTTCGCACCATACGGAACCGTCGGATTAGATTTAGAAAAGCAATAATCAAAACACACATATGATGCGACTCTTATAGTCTCAAAGGCTGTCACTTCTGTGTACTCCAGCACCACAATTTTGACATGCATTTGTTCTGAAACTGGATGGGGGCCGCCTTGCCATGTCTGTGTAATTGCCACTCAATCTGTTTTCTTGTGCAATTATCCGGGGAGGTTGGGCCACTTCGTTAAATTTATCTGGAACAGTTGCACGAGCCAATCCACAATGACTTAATCTTCGCGAATTTTGCTCGCAGACATGAGTACCGATGAATGGCATCTCATCAATTACTTTGTTTTACTTGGTGATGAAATCAACAGCTTGTTTAACTGTATGGACCTGAGAACGACCCGCATATATTATTGCCGATGCATAACACCTCTTTGTCGTGTTTCTTACAACTATGAACGAAATTAACGAAAAAAGTAGGTACGTGCGACCGCAGTGGCCTCCTCATCCGATGATTGAATGTCGCTGGTGTATTTTATTCAGCATCTCCCCCGGCATCCTGTTCAATAAATTCTGCAGTGAGAGGAAATAGAGCAGTTAACATTAGTCATTAATATTTCCACCGAATTATTCAAGAGTACTCAACGGGATGCAGTCGATAAGCTGTTCTGCAGCACGTCATTCCTTGAAGGCAGAGTTTACACGCAAAGGGACTTAACTTTTGCATGTTTGCCACTTGTCATTAGCCTATTGATCCGGCAAGTCTCCTCCAAGTGGAATGTTTACTATTTTTACCAATTTGCTGTGTTTCTCACAGGCGACAATAACATAGCTTTTTTTAAAAAGGCTACTGACTTGTAACGCAATATTTGGCTCTAAAAGTCGGGTCAATCGCATGACGCAAATTTTGATCTGAGGGCAACACCCACGTAAAATCTACAGTCACCACATCATGATATTCTATTAACAAAAACTGTAAAGATACGTCAGATTCTTTAGAATCGCCATCCCACTTTCTGTCCTCAGTGCACTTTGGACGCTCTTAATAACGTGTTTATCAATGATGGATAATACGCTCAGCTTCTCGGCCGATACTTACCATACCAATTTCTTACTCCTACCGCCTTGCAATACTTCGAAAATATCTGAGAGGTAAGTCTTTAAGCTTTACTATCGCTTCTATTGTGTTAAAAGAGGAGATTCAAATCCCCTTCTACTATTGAATAGGCTTTTTCGTCATTTACCCATGGAACTTCACCGATCGCCCGATGCTAATGTCATATGATAGCTGACTCAGCCGTACCATTTCATTGCGCCAAGATAGACCATCTTTTCTAGCTTACGTGCTCGACCTTTCTACAGGCAATTGTCTTGTGTTTCTTCCGGCGATTTCGGAAGGGCGAGATGCCCAGTACGAATTACTGCTTCATGTTGTACACACCAATCTGCACCCTCGATCTTCACTGGCTCTTGCCTCCAAAACTGTGGTACTGAGTCGCTCTTATTCGTCTTCGTTGAATCAGAACTTAAAGGTGTTCACACAGATTCGCGTACAAACGCCCCACTTGCATTGATCTCCGAACGTCCCGGCTTACTGCAACAATCAAACGTTTACGTTATAAAAATCGTGTGATATAGTCGCTAATTTCCATCTCATTATCTACTTCCTTTGTGGGATCAGTCGAAATGACTCAGGCGTCGATTGACTACTAGTGCTACCAAGTGCAGCGGGTTGCCGTAGGTTACCGAACTTACCTCGATGAGTACGAGGGTAGCGAATTGCGATCCGCTACCCTCGTACTTCAAACCTTGACCAGGGCAAAGGAACAATACTGTTCATTGATTGATTGTTTTAGTTGCGACAGAGCCACCAATATCGAAAACCTTGGATTTCCTAAGTAATATAGTAATACCTAATATAGTAAGCCTAATTGATATAGTGATATGCACCACTTCTGGCAATCCTGCTACGTAGTGGCTTCTTGTTACGGTGAAGCCACACCGCTTTCAACGTAATCCACACCTATGTACGGTCGCACCATCCGCCCTTTTTTATAAGGGTAACTGCAACCCCGTTCTACTTTGTCTGGATTAGCGCAATTCATAGCGGGTAACCCCTCCAACAATGCCCTGATCCATTCGAAAAAACAATATATGTAAGCTTATTGAGGATAGGTACACAAACATTCCATGTTTCATCCCACTCCTTTAACGGCTCCGTCGTGGGATTATCTACTAGTTTCATCGTGGGAGTCGGGGTGCTTGTGCACTTTGCATCAACAAAGCCTTGACTCCAAGAGTCCGTGTGTACAAAAGCACAGATGCTGATTTCTATCCTCTACCATAATTAGGCGTCTAGTTACCTCTGCTATTTCCAGAGTGTTGATTAATGCCATACACATAAAACATGCGTTTTACGATAAAGCTGTCTATTTTTCTCAAGGACCGCTCCTTTTTCGTCATGGTTATAAGTACCAATAGTAAGAACAATTGAATCGAAAGTGAAGTGTAAGTATACAAGCTATTCAACAAAGTGGCAGCCTAGCAGGCAAATACAAGGAATAATATTGGAAGTCGAGTGCAAAAGTGAAGAATGGGCGAAGATTTGCAGTTCTTCCTCTATGTATAATGACAGCTGCTCGTTTTCGGCAGAACATCATTGTCCAGAATTTTAGAAAACAATGTAATCGTCTTTCGTGGACTAATCTTAAATCTTCTTTGCTACTCTCTTTTGATGTAAATACGAACTATGCACCACCACGGACTATCTATATGCGCTTTGAGGAGCTCGGGTTTTGTAGCAGCGCGATTTTGAGTTTGAGTTTTGCAATGGTCGTCAAACGTTGCGCTACGTACTTGCAAAGTAGATTGCGATGGCTGCAATTCGCGGTATTTGCTTTTAATGGACAACAAATTGCGTGTTACATGCTACAACGTGGGCTGCTATCGTTTTGGTCGTCCTGTTTGCCCATGCTTCTAAATTTGTTTCATTGATGGGAAGTCTGTTCTTAGTAGCATTGGGGGTCACGCCCCCCAACTCCCCCAACTACTTGTGTCGTTTTTCTGGTCGTACCTTTTTATCAATTATTTTAGTTGTTTTCTGACTTTTATAGTTCTGAAAATAGGATTCTAGCCAATAAGTTTGAGTATGGAAAAGATATGAATCGTGTGGCTAGTGTTATCTCTTGTCATAAAGGAATTCGACCCATTAAGCGCAGCTGTGATGTCGATTACAATTTGGGCAAGTTATAAGCGATGGGCAGACGCTCAGGAAACGCTTTTTCTTGACTGGGTCGATCCATCCGGCCAGTACAAGCTCTCACCCATGCAGGACTTGCCCGGCGCTGACTTTGCAACAGCATTTGCCATATGCGTCGTCTATGTCTCCTTCGTCGTGATCGGCACGGTATGAAGATCAAGTCACATGGACGTTTTTAAATTGTAGTATCTGACATCCATCCCCAAAATTATTATGCATTGTTCAGTTGGCTATGAAGGCTGGTATTCCGCCGATCAAGACCAGTCCGTTGCAATTCATTTACAACCCGCTACAGGTCGTGTTGTGCTCTTACATGTGTATGGAAGCCGCAATCCTAGCATATCGAAATGTACGTTTGTCTGAATTACCCTTCTGAGCAGTAATTTCCATTTTGTCAGGAGAGTCTTCAAGTTAAAATCTATTTTTTCGCCAATTTTTAGGGTTACTCTACGGCGCCGTGCAACGCGTACAACGCAGAAAAACCCGTCATGGGTAATGTGCTTTACATGTTCTACCTTTCGAAGATCTTAGATTTCTTCGACACCATCTTCATCGTTCTCGGCAAAAAATGGAAGCAGCTCTCTTTTCTGCATGTATACCATCACCTGACCATATTTGCGGTACGCATGCTATGGATTCACTTTAAAGAGTTTCGATACTCACATTACGATCATCGTTATCGTGATTGCTTTTGATCAACTGTGAACAGCTCTACTTTATGAATTTTCGGGTGGCTTATGACGGCGACATCTATGCCACGATTATCCTAAACGGTTTTATCCACACCATCATGTATATGTACTACTTTGTCAGCGCCCACACACGTGATATTTGGTGGAAGAAATACCTCACCGCCATGCAATTGATTCAATTCATTACGATGAACGTACAGGGATATTTAATGGTGTCTCGTTCATGCGAGAACTTCCCTCACAAAGTACCGGTCATTTACCTCATCTACATTCAATCGCTCTTTTGGCTTTTCATGAACTTCTTTGTCAAGTCATACTGCTCCAAGCCACGCAAGTCTCTCGATAACAAGAAAAAGTTGCAGTAGTTCCATACGTTAGCTAAATTCAGCTGAGTGGGGGCTCTAGTCAATGCGTTCGAAACGATTTTGGCTGTTTAGCCATCATGTTGAGGGTTAGATCTGCATCTGCGTATTGGCTCCAAATAAATTTGTTACTTGTCTATACCTTGCCCAGTCACCATCTCGATACTTTGAATATGGGAGACTTTATTGAACATTTCGGGTACTCGCATGCGATTTTAAATTGTAGTAACATCTTCGTTGCGTGGATATAATGACAGATGATCTGATTTGAATGATAGACGCCATGGATGAGCATTTCAAAAGCCGTACAAGGCACACACAGCAAACGATCAAGCAAACAATTTACGTTTGTGAAATGCAGCCAAGACCAAAATAGTGAATAGACAACTTTGTACGGCCATAAACGTATAGATCGCACAGCAAAAATCGCTCGCTAAAATTGTGCAAATTCAGAGTACAAAAGATGCCGTGAATATCTAAACGAGCCTTCTTCGCTGAAGAGCCACGTTTAAATCTATTGGGCACGTACGTGCAGATCCTATGAGCTTAACTGGAGGTAGACCATGCACCAAGTTTTAACAATGATTGATTTATGTAAAGAAGCCACTCATCTTTCAGCCATTTGTTGTCACTCATATACGCACAATTGCCAACGATAATGCTACCAGCCTTCTCTTAATGCACGGGACTGATGCAGTGTTAGAAGCCGCTCCTGCATGAGGTTGCATATGAAAACACTTGTGGATTTTGACATGCTGCCAAAGTTAATCACAAGCGCAGGCTTCCGTCGAATTGTCCCTTCCATATTGATTTTCATGAGATTTTCAAACTTCATGCATCACGTTCACTCCGTATCACTGACCAAAAAAGTCAACGTTGACAATGATGTAAACAAGCCAAACCACATTGAGAAAATCATGTTGTCAACGTCATTGTCTTACCTCCAAGGAAAGCCAGTAAATTGTAGAGTGGAGGCGCTTCGCATGCGAATCGTCAAAATATGCAATCTATTAAATGACTCATGATGAATATTGGTTTCGACTTTTCCTGTTTAAATTTCCGATTTTGAGACCTTGAGCACCTCCGTTGCTCGAGACTTATCTCTGCGTCAGTCTGAGCAGCACCGAAGTAGTGCTAACTGACTTTGTTCTTCAGCGTATCGGCAAAATAAACCATTTTTTGTCAAATAGGGAACCCATTTTTAAGAAAAATTCGCCGCGGAATTTTTTTTCTAGAAATGTGAAATCATGCACCCATTACGAGTAGTGCCATAAACGCTTACGATACCGCCATAGGCTACGAGCAGTACACGGTGGACATCCTTTGGAATAAAAGATACGACTTATAAAGTAGTTTTTTTTAGTCGCTTGGCGACGTGTGCTGTTCGATGATTTTCAAAGATCGCTTGGTTTGGAGTCTCTCACTTAAATTTGAAGCGATACCCGTATAATTAGCTCCGACTCATTGCCCACTTCTTTCTGAGCGAATATCAACAAATGCTCCAGGCTGTAACTTGTCTTGCAGTGTCGATACGCGAATTTATCATTGATACGATGGTCTTACGTAATGCTAAAAACTTGGAGTTTTTAAAGAACTTCAATCTCGCGTATCCTCGCATCAAGAATCCGTGTGCATCTGATTTTGCGATGACGTGATATGTATTTGCCAATGAATGAGCTAATTTTGGCAAAAGATATTTCTTTCATCACTTCTCACTACTGTTGATTACTGGTTGCACCGTTGGCAACGGGTACATACTCGAGTATAATACTATCGATGGTGTCCAGCACTGCCACAAGATGAGCCATCTCGGTCAAAGAGTCCACAAAGACCACCAAACCCGTTTTGATCGCCGAGTCCTTCGGTAGGCCAAGCACAAAGTTCATACTCATGGACTGCCAACACCCTGAAGATACTGGTAAACTGACCAGCGACCTCGCAGTATTCGGAAAGAATTATACCCTCATACACGTCTCACATACGTGCTGGGCCGCCAATAGTGGCAACCCACCGAGCTGTACGTCTTCTCACGACCGAGATGACAACTGAGTAGAGTGTCGTGGGCCTCATAGAGGATACAATAATTTAATTTCTCATCGTAAAGAACAACAATTCGTGGCGTATCTGTCGAATCGGTGCTATAACACAGCAACCCGTTATTCAACGAATATCGGTGTAACAGTGCGCGCAAACGCGACGACAATATCTTGTCCGAGTTTCCAAACTCCTAGCTCACGAGAGCCTGTAGCAGAGCTACACACATACTATCGCCCGCGTATGCGGCGCGAATCGAATTTGTCAACGACGACGTCACCGTCGTGACATTAGCAAGCTCATAATCCGGTTTGCGTGACAACACATCAACCAAAGCATCCTGCTTTCCCGGCTTATACTTCACCTCGAAATTAAATTCTGCAAGGAATGAGAGCAACTTGGCCATCCTCTGCGTGAGCTGAGTCGCTGAGTTGCAGTACATTATGACGCATAATCTGTCAGGATCTCAAACAGCTTCGATCCAAGCAGGTGTACCCTGAACTTAATAAATACATACTTTGTCGCAAGAAATTCCTTGATGTGGACTGGGTAATTCTTCTTTGCAGCCTTAAGCTGGCGAGATTCGAACGAGATCACCCGATCTCGCCTCTCGACGTGTGCTTGCAGCAATGCACAGACAATGGCAAAGTCAGAAGCGTCACAGACGACACTAAAAGCCGATCGGGGTCTGGCAAAGAAAGTATTGGTGCATAAAGAAGGCTGTCTTTGACCCTGTCAAAAGTCTCCCGATTCTTGGTGTCTCAACACCACTCGCATCCTTCTTAAGAAGATTCGATAATGGCCGTGCCATTTCCGCAGAAATTGCGCTATTCTTGTATAACTAATTGGGGAGGTTAAGCCACTTGCGCAAGTCCTTTTGATTCTTTGGAATTGGCCAGTTTATAATGGCCTTGACCTTAGCGGGATCCGCTCGAAAACAACGCTTGCCAATGAAGCACCCCAAAAGGGAAATTTATTACGCGCGTAAGATGCACTTATTGTTATTAGCATACAGCTTATTCGTGCGCATGCACTCGAGCACCGCTTTCAAATGAACAATGTGACTCCATCTCTGTTCTCAGCACCCTAGAGAGGAATCACGCGCCGAAAATGCGCTTATTGGCATAAGCATCCAGCTTATTCGTGCGCATGCCTCGAGCACCGGGCTAAACTAAACGATGAGGTTTTCCCCATCTGTCGTCCCGTGCCCCGCACGACTTCGGACGAAGATGTCGTTGAAGTATGTCTGTGCATACGCCCGATGGGGCCTGAACAACTGCGTCACAAGACGATTAGATGTTGCTGGTGGATTTGACAGCCATTGGGGAATCTCCAGCCACACCCAGAGCATGCCGCTCGGAATATTCACCGCTGTCAATATAACTAGCTCTCATGAGCAGTTGGCCATACGAAATGACCAAGTCGTTTGCGCAGTACTTCGTACATTCAACCACATCATTATAGATAACATCCTTTCTTATAAGCGGCGCCTGTGCCGAACGGGGGTTGCGCTTAGCGTATTGTAAGCGTGAACGATACGCCATTTGCCATCCGGCTTCCGGACACAAAACGTGGATGTCGAATGGGGAGGCTTGCTCTCACGCACCATTCCTGCGTCGTGCTTCGCGCGATAAGGGCGTCAATGACGTTATGGGCAGGGGACATTGGCGTGTTACGCAGTATTTGATTTTCGGATCCAGGTCAATCTAATGACGCATACCTCGGTCCGGAGGTAGGACCGACGGCGGGTCATTGGAGACGACATCTTGGAACTCCTTTTCCAAAAATAATGCGGATTTTTCAGGATTGATGATCCACTACAAGCGTTCAGCACACCCTTAGTGCCTTCCAAGACAGTTTTATCAAGAAGCGACTTCGAGTTCATCTTCTCGTTCGGTCTGATGATAACCACCTCGGCTAAATTGTCTGCCTTTAAGGCACCACTTAACACCTCGAAGGACATCTCGTCCAGCTCACGACGAGCACCCACCACAGAAATAGCCTCAAGGGTGACGTTGCCGTCTTTCTCATCCGTCATACCCTTGTACAAGGGTGTATAGCTGTGCTATCGTCTACGACAGATACACCCTGGGTCACGGTCGACACCCAGCGTCTTGCAGATACATAGGTTTTAAGTCTCATCGAGGTCAAGTGGGAACACGCTCTCAGCGTCGTCCAGTGTTCTACCCGAAGCCTTGATGTTATTAACACAATCAAACAAAGAGCTGCTATTTCCGCAGTCTTTGTCCAGTGGATAACGTGCCGCTCTATGCGCACCTGAAGGTGCATGAAGCTGGCGATTGCCTTGCGTTTTGCAAAATCAAAGCTGAGACGGCGCTCAAAGCGCACGTCCGCTTCCTTGTGGCTTTGCTGTAGGGTAAACCCCGAGGAAAGTTTCTGGTGCCGCTGCACCCGTCGCTTAAAAAGCTCATCATCATCTGCAGCAGTTTCGCCTGGGGCGAGCACCACAGAAATAGTCCGCATTGCGGGTACAGGAGCGCTTCCTTTTTGAGCTCAAAGTTGAGCGTGGTATGATCCATTAAATCTTCTTGTAGTACTAAAATGCGACCTCGGAGAGCCTTCCGCTGATCAAGCTCAGCTTCTGTAGTGGTCGGGGCCCGACTACGTAGACGCCTAACGATCGAGTGATCGCGTCTTTCACTTCAGTAGCGGGATCTGCCGAGCGGAAGCTGTATTCCACACGAGGGTCTAGGACCGAACGTGGATACGAGCGCATGAGAGCTGCTCTGTGGACAGCCTCCAAATGCTGCTCCTGTGCCTCGTCGAGGCGCCTGGTTATAGTTCCACTTCCCCCGGAAGTCGAGAGAACACTTTGTCTACAAAGTTTGAGCTGGGATCACGTAGCGACGTTGGCGCACCTCAACCTCCTCGTCTTCCCAGGCTGTGAAAGGTGTTTTTGACTCGTAGTCGACAGCTTCCAACTCCTCGACGAGGCAATCCGTTGCCTG